GCATAAATTCAGCTTCTTTTGCCTTTGGTCCGCTAACCTCTGGGATCTTATTTCTGCAAGTGGTCTTTAACATAGAAGTGCATTTTGCTGATGCCAAGAAATTGGGCTAGTGCAAGAAAGTGACAAAGAAAACAAAAACTATAGAGAAAACGCCTCCGAGAATTAAATATTTCAGTGTCCTCTGGGAACTGTATCAATAGAAATGCAGTAGCTTTGGTTCAATGCCCCAGCTGCAAAATACACATTTGTTTGCATGTACAGCAAGAGGGGAACGAGCTGCCAAAACACAGGTTGAATACAATTTCCATGCTTGATAGTAAGCCACAGATGTGAAAAACTAAAAGTCATATATATTTATCCCCTTAATTTCCAAAGGTCTTGGTTTGGGGCTATTTACAGGAGTAGGTGCTGGTGGCTGTCAGTGATGCACACTGGTGGAAACAGGTGACATGGGGCAGTGCTGCATGTGCCAAGCTGCTGGCAACAAATTCACATGTGCTGCTTTCTCCCAAACAACTGCTTTTGAATAAACCAAATCCAAGGAGAACAAAACTGTTAACTGCTAATAGTGGTCTGGAACCACTATTGAAATATTAGGGTCAGGTGATAAAAGCTGGATTTTGACAAGCTATTTAACAAGTCTAAATATTTTTAACATTACCAGATTTGTGATTTCCTGCTCTTGTCAACAACAAACATATCTAGAAAAAAAAATCACACCAACCCCCCCCTGCCCCAGTGCCTGCACACAAATTGCACATACACAAGAGCCAAGTGCAAGTTCCGAGATGCACCTCTGCTGAGTGGTCTCTCCACAGCTTGACAGGTCACACGTCTGGCAGAAAGGGGTGAAATATTAAAAGTCCTAATTAAAGTACAAACCCGATGGCTCAGCTGGCTCGATGGTGCCGTCAGTTACTAGCCCATCTGATAGAGCTTCATCTGACAGCTAATAAAACTGCACCAAAATTATCGTGTTGGGCTAAATGGCATAAAAAGTAACTGTAACTTTTACAGAAAGAGGTGGGAGAGTAACATCTATTATACAGATTTGAGAATCCAGCGACAATTTACATATTAAGTTAAATTGCAGAACACCCTCTTAATCTTATCAGAAGCTTATTTTATTTTATTTTATTTTATTTTATTTTATTTTATTTGTAGTCTGACTTTGGATGTTGCTAGTTTGACTTGTTTCAAAGTTAAATGGAATAACCCCACGGTCAGTGACAAGAGAATTGGTAAATTCCCTGCATATGGCCTTTGGAGAAGCTGGTAACATTATAGAGTTTAAAAAAAAAAAAAGAAGGGAGAAAAGAAGAGAGAGCAGAGAAATTTTTAAAAGAAAATTCTTTTTTTGAATTAATTAAATTTAATTTATATAAAGCAATGCCCCTAATTACAAAAAAAAAAAAAAAAAAAAAAAAAAGAAAAAGTAAGTATGTAGAACTAAGAAAGAACACTCTAATTAGCATGGAACCGATAATATTGCATAGAGATAGCATGCAAGTCCCTATTATTATCAGGGCATTTTTAAATAGATAAGATATTCAATTATCTCATGTCACTGATATAACATATTTAAAAATTACTCTGAATTGCTAAAATATTCACTTTTAAAAAAAAATCTTCCACCTGGACAAGGTTTTCTTCTCTTTCACCACCTCTCAAAGAGGTTACCTCAATAATTCACACATCAACAAAAAACCTACACACTAACCTTTCTGAAGAATGAATTATTAGGCCCGTGTCTAGTATGGTTTAGCTGTGTAAGTAACTGACATTTTCCATATGAAAGTTCACAGAAGGGCACATTAAATTACACCTAACAGATGCACTGTGCAAACTTTTGTGGTCTGCATGTTTTCTTTTACAAAGAATATTGAAATAGGGGGGAATATGAGACAACATAAGATACAGATAAAGTCTATTTAATTAGCCCACAAAGGGATAGATTGATTTTTGAATATTTGGCTCAAGTACAGAAGGGCAGCAGAATTCAAAGTCATGACATAGAGTTTTTGACAAAATGCTTCCTTTCTTTAAGATACATTTGATAAAGGCTATCAAAAATTCTTTTCAGGAGTGCAAAAAGACAAATCTCTCCCATTTATTTAGCCTTTCCTCTTTGATGCATTTTCAGATATTAATTCATCTTTTCTAGCCCTGAAATTTGCCTGGACCAGGATTCCACCTAGTCCTAACACTTAATCACAGGAGCCTGAGGCTGAATTTACTGTACAAGTTGAGACAGTGGCAATATGCACTCTAAAATTAGAAAATAAATATGTAGCAAACGCTAGAGCACAGCTCTTCCTGATCAATAGTGGGAGAAGAAAAAAACTCCCAAAAGCTACCAAAAAATGTAAGACTGAGCATTTTCATTCACTGTGTGGAGTGAAATAAGTATACATTTTTCTTCCAGATTGTCTATTTGCTTTGAGAACACTTGCATCACGTGCCTTTGCTACATCAAGAGTATCATTCACTCAAGTGAAACTCTATGTAAACATTGCTAAATTGGTGCGTAGCACATGAGGTCATATGCGATGCCATGCACTGACCTTGAGTGAAATCAATGAAACACAAGGGACGTATCTGCGCTATGCAGAGAGTTACAGAGCAAGACTTTCCGGTCCAGGGCTGTGTAATCAGCACAGCTCTGTTCCTACACCAGTGAGCAGTGTCCTTACTACCACTAAGTAGTTGGCGGTCTTGTGACAGATTCACAGGCTTGAGGTACCACTACAATCATCTCATCTGACCACCTCTTATTTCACATATCATTTTCTGTTATGATCTCACATTTTCTTTCAGAAAAGTACAACAGCTTTGAAACCATTTAAGAGCTACATCAAAGAAGCTTAGATAGTAAAGATGGTTAATTAACAGCCTGTAGTTTGCAGTGTCAAAAGCTTGATCAAGCAAAATGGCTGCTCAGATTCAGCTTTGATCAGGATTGGGGCTGGCGTCGCTGCTGAATTCTGAATTCTGAATTCTGCAGCACGGCAGGATTGCCTGGCTCTAGCTGCACAGCATGCAGGCACCAGCACTGCCAGAATCACACATGGCAAAGGCTTGAGTAGGAACAGCAAATTCTTCCATTTTTAAATAAACAATCCTCCAGAACAACAAAGACAGTGGATAAGTACATTAGTTTTCTTCATGTACAAGATACTATTTTGAAAAATCACTTTTAAATCCCAAATGTCCTCAACTATTCTTAACTCTGTTGTAATTCTCCTAGCTGTATCCCAAATCTTTACCTTTCTCTAGCTGGCTCTCCTGCATGACTAATTAAATTATTAGTTATCATTTCTCATACAACTGAGAAAATTCCTGGCCTTTAGTCTTCACACCTAGGTCTATATGTGCTTGTGTGTGCTGTTGGG